CTTCCACTTTTGGATACTCGTTTCCTTGTTTTAGGTTCATGGCCTAACTCGGGATCTTTAGGGAGGCTCCACCATCCCCAAAAGGCTATCGGGACGACTATAGTGGTTTAAATTATTAAGGTCTCGTTAGGTAACGAAAGAATACACGGGCAAACAAAAGAACATGTCCAAAAGAAACGAGTATCCAAAACTAACTACAAAAATGGATTCCAATTTAAACGAACAAAACCAAGTTCATAATTACGAAACGAATGCCCACAAGGAGGTAAGCCTCCTCACCTCAGGTCAAATACCCCAAAAGCTGCAAAGAAGCTAGCCTGCTCCAACACGTGGTTGATCTTAGCTAATCTCACACGACAACGATCTAACTCTATAATACTGGGAAACTCGATAGGCGGCAACTTTAAAGTTCGAACCTAGGATACTAGCATTGCTAATTAACAAGTTTCGAGTTTTCAAGAGCATGTTTGTTATGTCAATGCTGATGAGAGCTTCACAAAAACAATCGTTTAGGCTTGTGACTAATAATGCATAAAACATACCATACAATCACTCATCTCATGGGTCCGATGCTTAGGCTTGCCATTAGCTTCAAGATCTGCATAAAAAGCCTTAACATCTGCCAACATCAACTCTTTCGATGGAAGTGCAATCCTTTTTGATAAAACACCAGCAACCCAATTGCTTTGAAGCTCAAACATGGGCAAAGGAACAACCTACGGTATGAATTAAAACACAATGGCTTATTCTGAACATCAACCAACTTCAAACTTCTGACTGCAATTGATACTTACCTTAAATGGTAACCCGACAAACGAAAGTCCCGGGGCCAAGGCTGGTGGGAAGACATGCTTGTATAGAGGCCCGACACGGTTGTCGTCCACAGTAACAATGCCATTTGTTTCAAGAAAAGGGAAATGATACTTGTACCTTGAACAACAAAATGCATAGAAATGTTGTTAACTATTTTTCAGATTTTCAATACAAACTCAGTGGTAAAGATCAGTGCCCAAACCAAAATTTCAGTCAGGTTCCAGTTTTTCAGCCTCCAAGTTAACATTATGACAATTTTCCTTCCCCCCTTTCGAGACAAGTCGATTAATTATCGAAACTCTCGTTTATTAGACATTTGCATGAACTTAGTTTCAGAACTTCTACAAAAGGAATCCTACATAGACGCGTTTAATGATTAGATGTGAGATCCCACCTCAGTTGGGGAGGAGAACGAAACATTCTTTATAAGGGTGTGGAAACCTCTACCTAACAGACGCGTTTTAAAAATCTTAAGGAAAATCTTGAAAGAAAAAGCCTAAAGAGGACAATATCTATTAGTGGTGGGCTTGAACGGTTACATTCTCCTTGTAACAAGACTTTAAACTAGATGTTATCTAATGTCCTACATCACAAGCTCAAAACAATCTACAAGAGAGCATACCCAGTGCAGTGCAGAATAACATCAGCCGAGACGACGCACCCGTCTTCAAAAACCACCGTCCCGTCTTTACGGGCACTTTTGATCTGCATTTTTGAAGTAAATATTAGGGCCTTAAAGACCTCATTAAGAAACAGACCCCTCCAATGCTCAATTATACCATTGGGTGGAATGACACTTTACTAATAACTGATTCTGCAAGCAAAAACCCTGTTTTAGCTGATCTGCATGCAATATGAACTTCTTTGGCAACCACAAGGAGCTCCTGAGATATGTCCGTGCCACTTGAAGAGAAACCTATCAAGATAACAACCTGTCCCAAAACGAAAAGAAGTAAACCATATTCAGTTTATATTGACATCAAAAGATTACACAAATACAAGATTTCAAAGACATGAGTTACAAGTCATCTGCTCTTCCATGGTCCGAACCAATCATGGTCGTTTTTTCGCACTAATGGAATAACTTGAATAAAAAACATGAAAATGTGTACACCTGAGCCAGAATCAGTGTAATAGCCCAAACCCACTGTTAGCAAGTATCGTCCTCTTTGGGCTTTCCCTTTCAGGCTTCCTTTCAAATCTAGAACGGGATACTTCTAGGAGACCGTGCATTCAAGACTGTGAAACTTTCTTTATAGGGGTGTGGAAACCTGTCCCTAATAGACACGTTTTAAAAATTTTGAGGGGAAACTCGAAAAGGAAAGCCCAAAGAGGACAATATTTGCTAGCGGTGGGCTAATGGTACAAAACTAGACATCAGGCGGTGTGCCAGCAAGGACGTTGGGCCCTAAAGGGGGATGGATTGAGTGGGGGATCCCACATCGATTGGAGAAGGGAACGAGTGCCAGCAAAAACACTGGACCCCAAAGGGCAGTGGATTGTGAGATCCCATATCGGTTGGAGAGAAGAATGAAACATTTTTTATAAGGGTGTGGAAACCTCTCCTAGCATACACATTTTAAAACTGTAAGGCTAACGACGATACGTAACAAGTCTTGGGCTATTACAATCAGAAAAGATGTCTCTCCCCAACACCTCAATATCAGCATCGATAGAACGTGTAGCAATCTGAATGTACCTTACCCCGAAATGGTTCGGGATCACGATAATTGTGACTATGAATTTGCTCCCCAGGCCATTCATCAATCCCTGAAAAGAATGTGATATCATTATAAGAGAACGCACAATTCAACCCCTTGTTCCTGGAGAGAGAAAAAAAAACTCCTGTCACAAGCTTGTCATTACATGAACTGTTCCTATACACACACACACACACACACAAAACACCATAAAAAAACTAAACACAAAACGAGCAAGATGGCAGTAAACATATGGATTGAGGTCAAGAACATTTTGAATTACCAGGAATCTCTGCCACTCGAGGCTGTGAATAATTCCCAACACACACAACCACAGCATCAAACATCTCATCATCAACATCCCCACTTTCACATCTAAATCGAACCCTCCATTTCCCAACCTCCACCAACCCAGCAGAAACCACCTCAGTTCCAAACCTCACCAATTCACAAATCCCAAATTCATTCGCGAAATCTTCCAAATACTTCAAAACCTCTAGATGACTCGGAAATCGCCTCGGGTCCCGACCTTCCCCTTCTCGGGGCACAAACGGGTAATCGCGAACCCCCATGAGTTCTCTGGGGAGATTTGTGCGTAGAGATTTGTAGAGGCTGCTATGGATTCGAGTCCGATTTGGGTCAACTCCAAGTGGGTCGGATTCAATTTCCGGCGAGTAAACCCAGGTTCCTCCGATTTGACTGCTCCGTTCGAATACGACGACACTGTGACCCTCGCGGCCGAGCTCACGGGCGCTGACGAGGCCACCGGCGCCGGCCCCTATGACTGCGACGCGGCGGGAAGTTAGAGGCTGGGATTGGGAATTGGAGGAGTGCTGCATCGCGTATGGTTGAGGTGGGGGGTGGGGGGAGATATTGAGGCGAGCCAACATGTGGGAAATTTTGCAATTGGAGAAGAATATGGATTGGTTGATGATTGGTTGAATTATGATTATTTTAAAAATATGATGAGTGGACAAGATTTCAAACTATAATATCCACTACCAGTCCACATGGAGTCTGTAGTATAATTCAAATCGAACACCAACTTCAAGAATGGATCAAACATGCCACCCATCAAAAAAGTTGTAATGTTTTTACAAAAACTCTCTAGTAAATATTTAAAAACTATTCTTCAGGTGAGATCCGAATGTTAGTACAAAGTCGACGTGGTAGAACATTATTATTTCATATTTGATCTAGACATCTATAACTTTTACTTTCATATTTCATATCTTTAAATTTTTTACTTTATATTTAATAAATATTTCGTCACTTTTTAAAATTTAAGAATCTAATAAAAATAAATTAAAAAAGTAAAAATGGTTAAACTTGATGGTAAAGAATTTAAAATTAAACTTGTCTATTAACTTCCCCATCTTATTATTTTTTAGTTCAATAAACTTAAAATATATATCAAAATTATGGTAATTTTATTTAAGAATACATATGGTCGGAAATTAATTTCCTTAGTAATTTATATGTTGTTATTTATTAAATATGAGTCTTAGGATGGAAAGCTAATTCATGATTCGAAGTTATATATATATATATATATATATTACTCTAATACATAAGAATGTGTAGGTTTACCAAATATTATATTTTAATATATTATATATTTGAACAAAATATATACAAATCTAATATTAAATATTTGATAATTATGATGTAAAAATTAAATAATATAATAATTAATTAGGTACAAAATCATTTGATTAAATTTAGTTTTTAGAAGGATAAAGCACGTGCAAGGCACATGAGTAACTCTCTTAGAGACCAAAACTTGGAACTTTAATTTTGTATTTTTAAAAAAATAAAAACCCTCATAATTTATTGTTTTTTTTTTTAATTCAAAATGTAATCACAGTTGTATTTTATATATTTTCTTACTAGTGATAATTTAGGTTGGGCTCTAAAACACCCATGCTTTAGTCTCTAAGGTCGAAGAATAGATTCAAATGGACATTGAATTAATTTGATCGAATAAATGACGATGCCACAACGTTAATAGTTTTATATTCATTTCAGTTTATTTGATTTTTTTCGTCTTATCTCTTTCTTTCCTCCCGCTCGTCCCACTCACTTACTCACTCTTTCTTGTACATCGTTCTTTTTTATACAATATATTTAATACTCTGTATCAAATAAAATAAATAGATATCTAGTAAATTAAATATTAATTTTTTTTTTATTTAAATTAAGTTGATTCTTTTAATATTATTTCAAGCTAACCAGAAATTGCATAGATTTCTTATATCCAGTAAGCAAAATATTATTTTTAAAAATTAAAAATAAATTTGAGTTGATTCCATTGGACGAAAACTATTTTAAAAAAAATATATAAGCGCTCGTCTAGTTAAACTCAAATCAATCCCAACTTAACCAAAACTCATATCTTACCCAAATACAAATTGAATTCTTTCACATTTTTTTAGCATCCCGTGTTAAACTTCTCATTCATACGATTAAGACTCGATAACAATCACATACAAATAAAATAAACGTTCTACTTTCTCGTACACAATTCAAAATTGAACTCTCTAAAGCGAATAAAAAAAAGTCTCCAAGTAAATTGGAGAAAAATGAGGGTGGAAAGAAATCATAAGGGCTTCTTTCCCTGAAAAACTCACAAGTTTCAAAGCATAAGATTCATTGATTAAATAGAAAACAAAAGAAAGGGCAGGAACACGAACAAGAACTAAGAACAGAAACAGACATTGAGATATGAGAGATCAAAATGATTCCGGCAAGAAGTAGCTGCACTCTGACGACGGCGGCACACTTGTTTTTGGATCGTCACCGGCAGCGATTCAACCATCTGACGCCGCCACATTCATCGGTACTCCACTAAAGTGTACAGTGGTTTCCCTTTTAGTCTCTCTCGACCCTGCAAAAAAGTTCGTTCAATGTCCCTTTTTACTCTTAGGGTTTCCAGGTTCATATGTTTCATGCTTCTTTTTTCTTAAAAAAAATAAAAAAACATATATTGTAACAAAATATATTTATAAACATATATAAACATATATTTATATGGAAATTTAAAATATGGATATAATTATTTGAATTTCATTACCGGCATAATACACATAACATAGTCAGATTGAATTTAGGTGAGTGCAAGATGGAAAAAATCATATAATTTTTTGATACAAAAGATTCAAAATAACTTTGGAAAAGTTCACTCCAAATGTAAACAGTATATATGGCAATATATGAATTTTTTTAATGTGAATGAAACGAATTTTATTGGCGATTGTAGAAGAATATTCTTACCTTTAATTCTGGTATTTCAATCACGCATGCACATTCAACCACTTCTGCTCCAGCTCGTTCTACGAACCAAAATATTAGTCATCAGCTTCTTTTTGTTATTTCTTAGTCAATCAGTTATCTAAACGGAAATTCACTAACTAATTTTTTGATTTTAAAGCACAACATAAGGCATTCTAAAAAAATAACACTAAATATTAATTTCTATGGAACTCCGTCCCGTTAAACTATGGTGTTAAGAATTGTTGGGAGAGAGTTTCACGTTACATTGTCTAATTTAGAAAATGATCGTGAGTTTATAAGTAAGGAATACATCTCCATTCCTTTTGGGAAGCTCAAATCAAACCTATGAGAGCTTATGCTCAGAGTGGACAATATCATACTATGGTAGAGAATCGTGATTCCTAACGTATGGCCCAATGGTCCACTACCTCTAACTCGTATTGCCCAATGGCCCACTACCTCTAACTTTCTTACTTTTATTATAGTGTGCAATGTTCCAAATGGATTTGGCTCCATTTGTTGCATGTCTCTAATAATTGTTGCACGAATTGACATCTATCAAGAAAAACAGACCATGCTAGAAATGGGATCCATAATTTTAAGGCAAGAACATGATTTAAAAAGACAAAGTAGGCGAACAAAGTGAAGGGGTTGGAGAAAAATACCAAGTAAATTGATGGCTGCACAGAGAGTGCCACCAGTGGCAACCAAGTCATCAACAACCAAGGCACGTTCGTTGGCCTCGACAGCACCAACATGCATTTCTAGGCAATCCCTTCCATATTCCAAGATGTACGCTTCAGACATAACTCCACCTGCAAATATATCTTACATTATTTCACATGATCTGCCTCTACTAAGTTAGAAAGGCAACCAATGTGATCTTCCACTTGGGTTGTAATCTTTCTTTTTGCTTCTTGGAAATGGAGTGTCTGAGATTTAGACGACATGCAGCTCAATTGATCACACAATATTGTTTGGTAATGTTGTTGTTTCTTGTGATGTGTTTTTTAACATTAATTTTAAAGAACTGAAGGCAATACCAGGCAATTTCTTTGGTTTTCTCAGAGGCACAAACTTTGCTCCGATAGCCAACGCAATTGGAGGACCAAAAATAAACCCACGCGCTTCAATTCCTGCAAATGTAAATCAAACAGATTCCCATCACCATCGATATGAAAGAAAAGCTTGACTGAGTACACTATTTAAGAAAAAAAAAAAAAAAAACAACACACATCGGACAAAAAAGGGAAGAAAACAATTATTTTGACTTTCAAGTCTTCTTTTATTACAGGACCATGCCGAAATTTTGATTAAATCTTACCAATAGTTTTTAGTCAACAAAATAAGCTGTTCAATCTAAATCATACATGAACTTTGACTTCAACTATAGAACAGTCATATCCCATTTAAGACTCCAGCATTCTAAGTAGATTCAAGACTAGGTAATTCAATACATATGCTAAAACCAGATTCCACATGATTACAGTCAAGAGCAGCCTAATTTTTTAACACAAACTCAAGTCAATTAACACACAAGTGAAACACAAGAAAAACTAAAGATCTCGACCTTTTCACTTCAAAAGCTGTGGTGAGTTACAATTTTGGTCGTTTAAATTGATGGGTTATGATGTATTGAATTATATCAACACTTATATTAACTTAAGAGGAAACAAAACTATAGGTGTCCGTACACACACACACGTCTTCACATTCAATGCCATTTAAAATCACCAAGCTGAGTAAATAAGAACTTTAACAATATCAATATTAAAAAACTCAACCACTTTGGACCAGAAAGAGGAAGTGGAAATCCTAATAACCCATGAAAAGAAATATGGTCCTGTGGTTGGTGAAGTGGAAATAATAAGGGTGGGGAAGAAAGGAAGATAGCCACATAACGAACTTGCTTCGGCTTTAATAAATATGAACTTGAGTCTTATAATGGATCACTATTATTCAACAGCTTTGTTGAACAGATGCAATGTTCATGTATTATGATGGGGGAAATAATGGAACTAAATTGAAAAGTTTGTGGTTGTTTTTAATTAGGTAAGTCTATATTTTCAACATCTTGAGAGAGAGAGAGAGAGAGAGAGAGAGAGAGAGAGAGAGAGAGAGAGAGAGAGAGAGAGAGGAACTAATGATAAAAGCTGAAGAAAAAGACCAACGAGCCAATTATGTTAATAATACACAAGCTTTGTCTGAGATATTAATGGTAAAACTGGAATAGCATGAAAATGTAAGAACTTTGAAGCGATGGTGATAAATGATAAAGGAGAAGTTGATTTCAATCATTTTGGTAACATGTTGGAGAAATAAGTGTGATAATGTTAAAAGCTTGAAGTCACTGAAAAATGGAAACTAATTATTTTTATTTCTTAAAATTAAAAATTTAAATCGTGATAAATTCATTTTCAAGATCATATAAAATCCCATATTAAAAAAAAAAAAAATACAAAATTAGAGTTTGCATATGTAAATAATAACCTGATTCTTGGCCCATTCCATAATAAACAAAACAAACAAGTTCCTATATTGAAAAAAGAATTTGTCAATTTTGTTGGGTGATATTTTCTCAATTAAATGTGCAGCAATTATTAATTTTAAATTAACAGGTAAGAAAATAATTGATTTCACAGTAACAAAAAGAATGCATCCAAACAATTTTTATAGATTTAAAAACAATAGGAAAGGAAAACTTTTAAAAGAGTTAATCTAATAGAAAACTTTAAAAATATATAAAAAAAGAAAAGAAAAGAAAAAATTTATTGCAGCTTTTTCTGTTTTGTTTGTTTATTTATTATTATTTTAAAATTCTTTTTATTAGCTTTTCAAATTTGAATATATCTCAATTAAATTCCATCGTTCCAATGGAGAGAAAATGCAAAATCGTTCACAAAATCAACATCTTCATCATTGGACACAACTAGCAATTCAAAGAAGATGACAAACAAAGAGAAATAGACGAGGCATAGAATCGCAAGGCGTAGAAATCCACATTTGTAGTCGCGACGAACAGAACAAGGCACTGGCGGCCCTATCCAGACCTCCATCAAGGGGCCACAATCATATCCATGCAAATCGGATCTCACACACACACTGACAGAATCACGATTTCCTCTCGATTCCTCCTCAACCGTTCAAATACGAAAAAAAAAAAAAAAAAAAAAACCT